AGATACGCAGCACCAGCAGCAGCGTGGTGCCCGGCCTGCTCCAGCCCTTTTCTCGTTAAAAGCAGATCTCTTTGATCAAGAGGACGCCGACCGCGTGCTGGCGCTGCGCACCACCCTCCTGGCCAACGCGCTGGGCAATCGCATGACTCTCAGCGTCATCAAGCCTTTGCTGTCGCTGACAGCTTCCAATGTGAGGCACTTAACCATTGTTGCACCGAGTGCGAAAATTGACAAGCTGTCCGTGCACCACGTCGAGCGCATGACGTGGGACACGGCCGCTGAGGAGGTCACGTTTGACGCAGACTTCCGTGACGTGCAGCACATTTGCCTGCGCCGCCTGGGCCACCGGGCTGATTTCAGCGCACTTGCAGGCATCCCTTGCGTCGAGCTTGCTTCGGACGATGCAGCAAACAGCTTCGATCTGGCACCCTTGGAAGGCGTGAAGCACCTGGCTCTGCGCAACACCCGCGTGCTCGGCGAGGAGCCCGTCATACTGGCGGCGCAGCGCCTCGACCTGACCGGCGTCAACCTGGAAGCAGCCAAGCTCCACGCCAACCGCGTCCAGCTGTGCCGCATGGCCGCTGCCCCCGAGCTGCTGCACCTCCCCAACGCCACCCACATTGAGCTGTTGGAAGACTGCAAGGTGAAGCGCATAACGTGCCCGCTGCACATTGAGAGGCTCGTCATCCGCCATCCAAACACGCATGCTGGCGCAGCGCCCGTTGAGCTGCCGCAATTTGAGCACGCGGGCACGGTGGTGCTTGACTTTGGTGGGGCAAAGCTCACGCGCGCACAGCTGACGAGCCTCGGCGCTCGCTCCGACCACCTCGTGCTCTGCAACTGCGTGAACAACATCCGTGACCTGTGCGACGTTCCACCGCACGTGTACGTGTGCGTGGCGGGCGCCCACGTTGACGCGGAGGTGCCGCTGTGCGTGAAGGAGCTGAAGGCGTCCATCAAAAGCAGCTTTCGCGCCAGCTTTGTTCGCACCGTGCCGTACCTGATGCTCAGTGGACAGAGGACAATGAAAGCAATTCCAGACACCAACAACCTCTCTGACCACGTGTTCCTCAGCCTCAAGGCGTGTGCCATCGATGGGGCGATCAGAAACTGCCTGCGCGCGAGCATTGATGGTTGCGTGGGACGCGCCACGTTCAACTGCATTGGCGCTCTCTCCATCCATCACGGCGACCTTGCATTTACCAGGTTTGAGCGTGCCGACTTTGAAGTCGAGGGTGTGGAGGATGTGTGCACGTGTCGACTTTGGCACTGCGACATTGATGAGCCGTTCTCGCTTCGTGCCACGCAGCGCCTCATCGTCAGGGTCAGCACGTTTTACGAGGCCATTGTCGTTGAGCCCGTGAACACGCTTGTCGTGCGCGGATGCGGGTCGGGCTACGGGAACGGGCGGTGGCCATACGCAACGCTCGCGCGCCCAACACATGAGAGGACACAGTTGATGGAGAGGCTGAGGGAGAAAGACAGGGTGGAGTGGGAACGGCGCAGGGAAGAAGAGAGCTGGGAAGACTGGTCGCCGTTATTCGATGACACGGAATACGAATCTGACGACGACGATGATGGCGACGAGGATGCTGATGGTGATGATGACGGTGATGATGATGATGACGGTGATGGTGGTGGTGAAGATGATGACAGTGATGATGGTGAATGCTGATGGCGGCGGCGGCGACGATGAATGCTGGGACATCTTGCGTGCATGCATATATGTGTGTGTGTGTGCGCATGTGCGTGTGTGTGTGTGTGTGTGTGTGTGTGTGTGTGTGTGCGCATGTGCGTGCGTGCATGTGTGTGCATGTGTGTGCGTACGTGCGTGCATGTGTGTGTGCGCGCATGTGCGTGCGTGCGTACGTGCGTGCATGTGTGTGTGCGCGCGCATGTGCGTGCGTGCGTGCGTGCGTATGTGCGTGCATGTGTGTGTGTGCACAGACTGTTTCATGTCCCATTTGTGACACTTCTTTGCATGGATTGCCTGATCTGTTCAGAACCACGCTTGCTTGCGTAGAAGTCGTTTACTGGTATTGGTTACAGTCCGTGCTGGTCACACACGTCCAAAGAGGAATAAGAGAAGAAAGAAGCACATAACGGTGCCTCTTAGCGCAATGCAACGGCCATGCATGAATGCAAACACACACACACACACACACACAATCATTCACTCGCACACACAGACACACACACACACACACGCACAGACAGACAGACACACGCACACACACAAAATCATTCACTCGCACACACACTCACACACACACACACACACACGCACACACACACACGTTCTCCTCGTTGCTTTCACGCCTTCTTCCTGCCTGCGAGCAGCAACAACGCCATCTCATGTGGTGATCTGTTTGCAAGGACCATGTCGGGCCAACGCACACGATCACCACCACCGCCACGATCACCACCACGATCATCGTGCAAGCGCCCCTCGCAGCCACGGACCACGAGGGAAGCAACAGGGGGCAACGTGGACACGTCGTCAAACTGGCACTCATCAAGCACGAGGCGCTGCACGCGTGCAAAGCACGTGAAGTCGTAGATAAATGTCTTGGAGAGCCGACAGTGCACCACGTCACAGACACGCGTGACGACCACGCCTCGGCTTCTGGTGTCCGCGTCCGACTCAAAGCATTGCTCGCCGGACTCCTTGTCCACTGTGGCGGCGCAAATGTCTGCTCGCTCGCTCCCGTGCACCGCGGCAAACCCCAAGCACTCGCTCATCGCCACCTGTCTGCTGTTTGAGATGTCGCCGTCCAGCGCGCACCGGGTGAGCTCCAGCCGCTGCAGCCCCGAGAAGAGGCAGGGGGTGCCGCGGATGGGCTGCTGGCTGAACACGCCGTCCAGGTGCAAGCGCGGCACGTTGGCCACAAACGCGCGCTGGAACCCCCTGCTCACGGACGCCTTGAGCTCCTTCACACACGCAGGGACGGGCGCGGTGACGCTGCCAAACTTCAAGCACACGTACACGTGGTCCGGCACGACGCACAGGTTTCTCGCGCTGTCGATGCACCAGTCGAGTTCCAGGCGGTCCACGCGCTGCCCAATGCGCGCAAGCTGCTGTTGCGTGAGAGGCCTTCCCAGGTGCAAGCTGACCTCTCTGGCGTGCTCAAAGTCCGGCAGCAGCGCGGGATCCCAGGCGCGATCGTGCACGACGAGCCTCTTCAGTCGCGGTGCGCACGTGAGCCGGCGCACGTGGGAGTGCTGCCCCAGATAGATGTCAGTCGCATTTGGCAGGTGGAGCGGGTCCGGCACGGAGAGCATGTTGCAGATGTTGACGCGGGTCGCGTGCAGCGTGCTTGCTGTCAAGGAGACGTTGTGAAGGCTCAGGTCACGTGCCGCAGCGATGACCTGCTGGCTTGCGTCTGCTTCAGCGCCGTCACCGCCGTCAGGGGTTGATGGTGTTGCGGTTAAGGTAAGGCGTCGCACCCCCACCAGCGGTTTCAGACCCGTTTGCATCGCAGCGCACAGCAGCTGGACGGCTGGGATGCCTGCTAGCACGCGAATGTCACGAAGGCGATCGCAGGACGCGATGCAAACGCTCCGCACGCTGTGAAACTCCCCGTTGACGGTCTCCTGCTCGCCCGCCACGTCCCACCGCGCATAATGAATGTCACGCAGCATCAGATGATCGATGGTCGCGCCAGCGCCGGCGACAACCATGAGCTTGTGTGTGTTGTTGGCCATGAGAGAAGGCAGGCGGGCGTGCACATTCAGCATGACGAACCCACCGCGGGATCCACACAGCACAGTCGATCGCAGGGCATGAAACCGGTCAGCATCTTCTTTCGTGTCAAGGTCTGCCACCAGCGAGAACAGCGCTGGTCGTCGCGGTGGTTGTTGTTGTTGTTGTTGTTGTTGTTGTTGTTGTTGTTGTTGTTGTTGTTGTTGTTGTTGTTGTTGTTGTTGTTGTTGTTGTTGTTGTTGTTGTTGTTGTTGTTGTTGTTGTTGTTGTTGTTGTTGTTGTTGTTGTTGTTGTTGTTGCTGGTGGTGGTGGTGGTGGTCGCGAACAACGTGGTCGTGCGCGCTTGCGTGTAGGTCCTCAGCGGCGACTTGGGCTGTGTTCGTTGCAGTCGTGGACGCTGGTGGTGTGTTTGGGTGAGGTACAAACGCTGTGGCTGACCTTGCTTGTAGGGCTGCAGCCCACGCCTCCAGGTGTCCGAGGCTTGCAAACTCCACGCGACCACAGCCGGAAAACTTGGTCCAAAAGTCGGGCATCTGTGGGCGTGAGCATGAGAGTTGACATTGAAGGAAACAAAGGTCGCTGGTCCACTTTGCTCCCAGCCAGCAGTGCGCAAGGAACCGCTGCTCCAGCCACGCCGGTTCGTCAAACGTGTTGTCCCTGCCGTGATCATGGACATGTGGCGCTTGCGTTTGCGATGGTGCTGAAGGCAGCAGGGCGCGCTGGAAGGTATCGAGCCAGTCATTCATGGCCTGCCTGTATGGCCTCAGCAGCGCGTCTGCCAAGCACCACTTGGGCATGGCCCATGGCAGGTCGTGGTACAGCTCACGGCAGGTCAGCATCAAGTTGAAGAACGTGCGGGCCGTTTCTTGCTTCGCCAGCGTGCCGTCCAACTTCACCGCCATTGGCTGCGTTGGCTGCGCCTCAGGCTCTCCTTCTTCTTCTTCTTCTTGGTCGCTGTCTAACGCCATCAGCAGATGTTGAGCGACAAGCGCCCACTCGGCTGAAGGGACGCTCATGCGTGTATGTGTGTGTGTGTGTGTGGGTGGGTAAGTTGTGTGTGTGTGTGTGTGTGTGTGTGTGTGTGTGTGTGTGTGTGTGTGTGTGTGTGTGTGTGTGTGTGTGTGTGTGTGTGCTTCTGTGTTGATCGTCAACAGGTCGTCACTGTTGCTGCTTCGCAGATAATTGCGGAAAGACACGGCTGTTTTTCAGGAACCATCAGCAGTGGTGTGGCCATCACAGCAGACAGAAGAACAGACGACAGCCTGATAGCATGAACGCTTGAACAGACTGACAGTTGAACGTGCATCCAGCAAATCCAAGACCTCCACACATGTTTAGAAGCAAGAATAGTTGAGGAGACAACACTGTGACACGTAAGCGAAAGAAGAAAGAACAAGAACATTGAACAGCAAGACCAAAGACATTCAAGCAAATCAACACAACACGCGTTGTAGTTGCGTGAGTGGTGTTTTGGTGTGGATGATCAAGTTTTTCAGTGGGCACAGCACACCTCAAAGTCCAACAAAACCACCACAGGTCGATAGCACTGATGCACTGATGAAACACAACCAACTGAAGCAGCAAACAGCGTCATACCAACAACGGCACCGTGTGCCGCCAAGGCCTCAGGCAAGCGATGCTGTTTTTTTCAAACGCCAACACCATGCGCACCAACCACCTGCTGCACACCGTCACCGTTGTCGCCAGATGAAACGTCATGGCATTTCCTCCTCAAGATAGCCCAGAACTTGCAGTGCAGCACCTGTTATTGCTGTGGTTTTATCACCCAGCTCAGAAATGTTGCAGTGTGCTATCTCTGTCTGGTCAAGCATGAATTCAATCAACTGTTTCGGGGTCCACTCTTTGCTGTACTTTTGCACTTCATTCTTGGTCAAGATGCTGTTGTCCAGAAGTACTTTCTCCGCCTCTTCACTGGTGGCCTGGTGTTGCTCATCAGGAAGATGATCAATGCGTTCCATGGGGAAGCTGCCGTACGCACTGAAAGCCCTCGACGAGTGCATGCCTGGTTCAGAGCTGCCAACCGCGATGGGGAAGATCTTGATCTTGTTTTTCCTGCGCAGCTCGTACGCGATGATGTACTCCAAAAGCACATTGTCGGGGGACTTCCCGCCCTTATCGCCTATCGCATGTTCTCCGGTTTCTAGGGCAGCCATCTGCCCAGCAGATCCTCGCATCCAAGGGTTGTGTTCATTATCCATGTGCCAGGAGACGATGGGCACAAACAAAGCGCTCTTCTTCAGGCCATCGATAAAGCCGGCCTTCCATGACCGCCCACCTTTCAAGGATTTGATGTCAAGGAACACGTGCACTGGGTTCGATTGGCCAAGATACTTGGGGCTGGCCTCCACAAGCTCTTGCCACAGGCGACTGGCCAGCAGCTTATCGGTTGCCTGGCGGTAGCTGATGAAGATCGAGTCATCTGCCTGCCAAAACTCGCGCCTGAACACTGCCTTGAAGATGAGGATGCAGAGCACCCCGCCCCAGCATCCGAAGAACAGCATCATCGCTGAAAACATAACGTTCGGCTCAACGAACTTTGCAGCATCCGACACAAACACGGCCGTTTCCTGCGTGGAGAACACGCTTGCAAAGACCATGACGCACGAAAATGACGCAGTCACCACCAGCATGTTGGTGCTGACAGTCAGCAAGCCGCCGCGGCATTGCAGCATGCGAACAATTGTAAGGCGGCCCGTGGCAAACTCCAAGATCCACCACATGAAAGCGAACAGTATGTGGCAGGAGAGAATGAGGCAGCCGAGAAACCGCAGCCGCAGGTGTCCGTTCAAGAATTCAATGTCTGACGTCCATTCTGGTGGCGAGTTGTCCTCAGGGACGACTCGCAAAGGGATGCACGGCAGGGTGGCATATGCGAATGCAATAAAGAAGGCCCACAAGAAAACCTGCGCGAGCAGTGCGCCGCCACCAGTGATCATGACGCCAACCATGATGGACCGAACGCGGCTCGGGTCGCTTTGCTCGTAGCGCACCGAGATCATCTCTTGAACCGTCTGCAGCACGCTGACGAGTAGGAGGACCAATGCGCCGGTCCCCCATCCAATGAGGTAACGTTCAACGGAAGAACTTTGTGTCAGCACCACCACAGACACGGTGCCGCACGTGCCTGCCACGCTGATGACGTAGAGTGCCCACTGACCCCATGTGGCGCGACGCTGCTCGCCTTCGCCGTATCCAAGCCATGTCGATGTGCGCACAAGCCATACAACGGATCGCCTGATCGCAATGCACACACCAATGAGCGTCAAACGTTTGCGGTTTGTATTGGTTGCTTCAGAATCGTTCGGTGTGTCATCTGCGGCAGCTGCAGCCTGTGGGTCTGCGTCAACGTCGCAGTAGCTTCTCTCGGCAGAATCGAAGCATTGCTCATCGGTCTGTTCGGTTCCATCGCTCTTGCTTTGCTTGGATTGCGGGCTGTTGTTTTCATCTTTTGACTCCTTTCCACGGGATTCATCACAGCGCATCTCGCTGTACAAGATGAGGAGGCGCGACCAAGCGGAAGTGACGGATGCGATGAGGAGAGCTACGCCAGTAATCGGGATGAGCAAACAGCACGCGTATAGGTGTGAGCTCGTTTGGATCAGAAGGGCCGTGGTCTTGTTAAAGAACGGGGCTGGAAGCAGGGCTTGGCTGTTGAACTTGCACTTGCACTATTGCTGCTGTTGCTGCTGTTGCTGCTGGTGGTGTTGGTTGGTGAGCTTTCGCAAGCCTTGTCTGTTTTTTGTATGAAGCCAGCTAGCAGAGAAAACGCCAAAATCAAGGCCAAAGAAACGAGCAACCACTGGAGCAGCAGCAAGCCTTTGACGCCCACTTTGCGCCTCTTATGCAGTTTTGTGCTCAAGGCATCCCACTCCTTGCTGTTGGCGGCCCTGTTCGGTGATTCATGTTCGGAGGTTCTGTGGGAGGGTTTCGAATCAAAGGTCCCAGTCACAGTGCTTCTGGTCCTGATGGTTTGGTTGTCATCAGTTCTTGACCTCTTCACATGCAAGAGCTCAAATTCTTCACGGTGGCAAGAGCTGAGCAGTGGTTCCTGTAAGCTATTGCCGTGCAGTGTTGGGCGAACAGAAGGACAGGGTGTGAGCTGCTGAAAGGCGAGAAGACGAAATTGTATGTGTGTGTGTGTGGGGGGGGGGGGTGATTGTACTGTGCTGTGGCAGGCTTAAGTGCATGTGCATCTCCTCTACTATATGTAGGAATGCATGCCAAGCAAAAGCATCCATTCAGGTAACACCGAGAGGCTACTCAAAAGCACAACAATGAAAGCACAAACCCACACAGGACTCATACCCATCTCATTATTCTCATCATCCACCTTGAGTTTGACATGCTGGCTTGTGGTTCTCTTGTTGTGTGGTTCTCCTGGTGTGCTTCTTGGTTTGAGGAGTTTGTGGCAATGTGGAAATGACCATGCCTATGCGGGTGTTTGTGTGCTGCTCCCCCGCACCGCATTGTTTCACAAAGGCCGTTTTCCCCGCACTGCACACGCACCACCACTCGGCATGGTACGGATTGATGTCCCTCGTTTTGGCCAATTTGTCCCATCAAGCAACTGCCAAAATGTGCAGTTTGAGTGGAAGATGCAGCTAACCATCGTGAAACAAAGAGACGGTGAAACAAGGGCAAAGGTTGCAAAACGCCTAAACGTGCGTGAGCAAGGATGATTCACGCACACCCACCACGACCAACTGTGGGAAGGTGGAAGGCTGATGCTCCAAGAGCAGTGCTGCCTTGCTGCCAAGCTCTCTTTCTTTGTTCTCGTCTCGTCGAGTGCTCTGCACTGACACCACAACATCAAACAAAACAAGAAACAAACAGAACCAAGCACTCAACTGAAAGCATTTTACAACCAGTTTCCTTATCCATCAGACCAACCTCAGCGCTCACCTACTCCTGCAGAGAGCACGGCGCGATGCCGAGGTGACATGATGTGGCCACGCACAGAGAGATGGAGGGAGAGAGCGCGGGTGTGCGTGGTGTCTATCTTGTTGTCGTGTTGGGAGTGTCACGTTGATGGGTCGTGCTGTGAAGAAGAATGGAGGGGGCGATGGGAGCAGCCATCGTCTGCGTTTCGGCGCTTTTCATCATGCGCAAAATGCGCCAGTTCATGTGCACTTGTACACTCGCACCATCCACACTCACACTTGTGCTTTCACCACACAACAAAACACACAACATATCAGAGCACGGATTTTCAGGCGACTGCAAAGGTCACATACAACTTCCAAGCAAACGAACCTTTTCACCTCCAGTGTTGTGTGAAATGCTGACTCAGCTTTCACACAACATACCCAACCACTTGCATGCATGCAATCTTACATCAACTTGCACGCATGCAAGATGGCTGCCACGTGTACTTGTTGTTCACCTGTCTCACTTGTTGTTCACCTGTCTCACTTGTTGTTTGTTCACTTGATGTTTGTTTGATTCATTCACCTCTCGTCTTGTCTACTTTCACATTACACTACTTACACTACCGACATCTCGGTACAACACTTGGTAGCGATTTCGGTTTGGTGTTGCTGGGCTCTCCCACGCACCACAATCCGCCCCTCCGGGCATCGACCCTTCTTTTCTCCACACGCAAACACACACGGACGCACGTTCACATCGTCCACGAGCGTGCTCGTCATCACACGCGTGTCTGTGCTCTCGCTTTGTTCTTTGTTGAAAGCACGTATTTGGTGTCGCGTCACCCTGTATCTTCGCGCGCGTCGCCCCACATACACACTCGTGTTGATCGTATCTTCTTCTTACGCCGGCTGTGTTGTGCTGTTGTTGCCCGCGTTTACTTTTCCTCTTGCTCACTGTTCCTTTTGTGAGCCAACGCGTTGTCTCTCACGCCTGTGGTTTTGGTCGCCTTGTATCTGGTGGTTCGTAGGTTTCGTTTGCGGCCGTCTTCTGTTTTGGCGCCAAAACTTGCTTCGAGTCCCTCAAACTCTGCTTGCTTCATAACGCTGCACGCACCTTCGTGCATTGCCTTGTCCATACTCTGTACTCCATCATGGAGCCAACGCCGCGTGTGCTACGCGACACTGCAGCACGGCAGGCACGACGAGCCGATGCCTCGCTGCGTGCCGAACAGGCGGCGCCTGACCGCACAGCGGACGTGTCCCGTGAACCAGTGGCTTCGCGCCGCTCTACGCCATCGCTTGA